AAAAAAATAGTAATTTATAAACCATCAAGGGATCTTGAGGGAGGGAAGGAGGGAGGGAGGGAAAGTGAGCCGATACTAAGGGCTCAAGTAGAAAGAAAATGTTTTCAAAACAATGATGGCAACATACGTACAAATGTGCTTGACACAATGGATGGATGGATGGATGGATTGTGATAAGAGCTGTAAGAGCCCCCAATACAATGATTTTTTAAAATGGAATGTCAATTGGAGGGAAAGAAAGAAAGACGGCCTGGATAGGTCAAGCTGAAGCTGTAGGCATGATTGGGATAGAAGCCAAGAGGTGCCGGGGGCTTAAGTGGAGAGCAGATGTTTTGAGAATGATGCGGGCAACAAATGTGCTTGACACGATGGATGGATGGACTGTGAAGAGTTGTATGAGCCCCCAATAAAATGATTTAAAAAAGAGAAAGAAACTAAGAGCTGTGGAAGTGGTTCACGGAGCTATGCAGGGTGAAAAGATGAGTGTCCTGCGCAGGGACCTTGGAACAACCACACCTCAAAGGTCTTGGGATAGAGATCAGAATTGCCAGTGGCGGGGACAGGGAGGCAGCAGCAAAACCAGGAGCGCAGAGGTCAAGGACGCAGTGAGCCTGGCGGGTTCGGGTCTCTGGACCAGTAACAATGGCTGACTTTTGTCAAGTGATTAGTAAGTGTATTATGACGTCTTTGTTTTGCATACAAGGGTTAAACACTTGGAGGTAAGTAACCTGTTTCAGGTCACACATTAGATGTGATTGATTTTCCAGAGCTCTCAGTGACACTCATCTGAACACCTTCCTGGAAGCCGCAGGGCAGGGTGGGGCAGGGTCCCTGTTCAAGAGGCTCATTTCCTTGAAGTGGAGGAAAGGAGGCAAGGACGAGTGTGTGCTGGTCTGGAGACGAGGTGACTTCTGGTAAGCCCTGTCCTTGGTGAAGCAGGTTCCCTTGCAGACGTTGCTGGTTAAATTTAGGTGGCTGATGGTACAAAATGCTCTGCGGGCAGTACAGAATTGGCCATTGTCCTGGTGACTGCTGGGTGATGATGCCGTTTCGTCTTTGAGGTGCTGCTCTGTTGCCATGGAGCATTCTGGGTAAAATCCCGCTGTGCCAGCCCCACCTGCTTTTTCCCCGAGTATGAACCGTTTGTAGGCAGCATCTTGGTCTCTTAGACTACTGATGTGCTTACTAACATAGTTATTTCCATGTCATTTTGTTCCAAGTTACAAAATGAGATGGAAGAAGAAAGCAGACTTTTTTATTTAGAGTAAATGATCGTTTGGAAACACAAGGGGGTGCTCTTTAACCATCAGTGAACAGCTTTTTACAAAGTTTACTGTTGCAGAGGCTCAAGAGGAAAGACAATAGGGAGTTGAGGCAGATTGCTGTTGGTCCAGTAATACCTGCAGTAAAGGTGTGGTGTTCAAGCTGGCCCCTCAAAAGGCAGAGGGTCATTGTTTCTGAGCCTTTCTTACTTCGGTAGTTATCTCATGGCAGGTCTCTCCGGAAGACTCTGGAGCTCAGTTCCTGATCCAGACTGGGTCTGTTGGCCGAAACAGGGCTGAAGCGTCCTTGGAGCGCGCCCAGAATCTCAACCCCATGGTGGATGTGAAGGTGGACACAGAGAACATAGAGAAGAAGCCGGAGTCGTTTTTCACTCAGTTTGATGCTGTGAGTGTCCCAGGGATGACCCCATAAGCCATGTGGAGCAGAGGATGCCAAGCGAATTTGGCCGACTGCCCCTTTTCAGAGTAAAGTACCACTCAGCATGTCCCACTGGCAGTTGAAAACTTTTGTGCTGTAGGTCTGCTTTTGCAACCCCTCCTTGGATCACTCCAGTGGTCTCCCGGGGCAGTATTGCCCAGTCTGGACAGTTCTGAACTCTGCCCCACACGTGAGCTTAGCAGCCTCGCTTTTCTTGAGGGATGGATGATGGGTGGGTCACGCATGTGGATGCCGAGGTCCAGCCTGCTGGGACGGAGTGAGTCCTGCTCCCCACTGACTGCTCCTCCCCTGCACCCAGTTTCACCAGGCTTGTTCTCATCTTGGGCCAGTATCTGGCTGAGGCACTAGGACCCACCTTGTTGCCAGTGTTTTTCCCCCCAGTGTAACAGGTTAGGTTGGGCGGTTGGTTTTTCTTTTTCTTTTT